TAGGGACTCTGGCCATCGACATATATTCATATAACAAATTTCTCCTTCAGGTACTTGGTTGGGTGCGATAATCTTCTCGCTCAATTGCACACTAAGCACCCTGAACTCTGTGATAAAGTTGGTGGGCTTTTGGCCATGCATATAGATGATCTTCGGGCATTGGCACCAGTGTGGCTTTCGAAAACAGAAGAAGTGCGGGAAGACAGAGCTCACTGGACAACTAATATAACTGGTGACATCTATGGGAAAGGATGGATCAGTGAGATGTATGGATATTCTTTTGGTGCAGCAGAGGTAAGTTTCTTTTTTTTTCTCTCCCTTAAAATATTATTTCCTTGAACAAAATATAAATGTTGGATGTCTTACAGATTTCCAATCTTTAAATTTGAGTGTCGCTCAGTGCTTGTTTGTTTTCTTGTTAATCTGTACTGGTTACCTTATTTTCCTTTTCAGGTTGGTCTCCAGCACAAAATAAATGACAACTTGATGATCTACCCAGGCTATACTCCAGCAGAGGGTGTTGAGCCTATTCTTCTTCACTATGGCTTGCCATTTAGTGTAGGGAATTGGTCTTTTAGTAAATTAGATCACCATGAGGACGGTATTGTTTATGATTGTGGCCGACTCTTTCCTGAACCTCCTTATCCAAAAGAGGTATGTGATAACTTTACTTTTGTTGTGGTAAATACTTGTACATTTATTTTATGGTGTATGTTTGCATAAATTATCCCACTGCTAAATGCAATTGACTAGGCACCTTTTAGATAAGGCATACTTGGAAAGACTTAAAGGAATGCTCATTTAGGTTTTGTTATGAACCTGTATATAAATAATTTTTTTATTTTCAAAACGTCAAAATTCTGTACATGGAAGATCATGTTCAAGATCTTTGTAGTTGATTATGGGAAATTTATTCTTTCTTTGTCCAGGTAAAAATGATGGAACTTGATCAATATAAAAGGCGTGCTCTTATGTTGAATTTAGAGTGCATTAACACTTTAAATGAGGGTCTTTTACTACAACATGCAGCAGATGGTTGCCCAAAGCCAAAGTGGACCAAATACACGAGCTTTCTGAAAAGCAAAACTTTTGCTGAACTGACTCGGCCAAAAAAGCTGACTCCTGCTACTTTACGATTTGAGGAGCCAGTACATGTAGTACAGGCAGTGCAGCAGGAGGTTGACGATGAACCCGGAAAACCATATCCAAAAATCCACACCCTTTTTTCCACAGAATGCACCCCTTACTTTGATTGGCAGACTGTAGGACTTGTCCACAGTTTTCACCTGAGTGGCCAGCCCGGAAATATCACACGATTACTCAGCTGTACGGATGAAGACTTGAAGCAATATGCTGGGCATGATCTGGCTCCCACCCATTATGTCCCTTCCATGAGCCGACATCCATTAACGGGTGATTGGTAAAAAAATTTCTTCCAAGGGTCTTCTTTCCTTCTTATAGTTTGTTCTTGGTGGTGGTTTAATGTTAATTTCAGCATTGACACCCTATCTCCCAATCTTTAAGAGAAGCAAAACTCATCCTTTTGTTCTATCTACCAGGTATCCAGCAATTAACAAACCAGCTGCAGTCCTTCATTGGCTCAATCATGCAAATACGGATGCAGAGTACATAGTGATTCTTGATGCTGATATGATCTTGAGAGGTCCAATTACCCCATGGGAATTCAAAGCAGCACGTGGCCGACCAGTTTCAACTCCCTATGAGTAAGCAATCTGATTTTAAATTTTTTTATTTATTTTATTATTATTCTATGGTTGGTATCTCAGGACCCAAAATGTTATTAGGGGTCCATATTTCTAGTTTCTAGTTGTATAATCCATACGAGGACTAATTTTTCCTAATCTGTATATGGTAGCTATCTTATCGGTTGTGACAATGAGCTTGCGAAACTCCATACTCGCCATCCTGAAGCATGTGACAAGGTTGGGGGTGTTATCATCATGCATATAGATGATCTTAGAAAGTTTGCTCTACTGTGGTTGCATAAAACTGAGGAAGTCCGGGCAGACACAGCTCATTATGCCACAAATATCACTGGTGATATATATGCATCTGGTTGGATAAGTGAGATGTATGGGTACTCATTCGGGGCAGCAGAGGTAAATTGTTCTGCTGTGTAAAAAAGCGCTTCAGTATTTACCCTGAGCATCATCACCATTATTTAAAAAGTGTTTCAGTGCTATTATGTGATAATATTCTATTCCCCTCTGTTTTTCCATGTAGTTGAAACTACGGCATCAAATAAGCAGCGAGATACTGATATACCCAGGGTATGCTCCTGAACCAGGCATCAAATACAGAGTATTCCACTACGGTTTGGAATTCAAGGTTGGAAACTGGAGCTTTGATAAAGCAAGCTGGAGGAATGTTGATGTGGTCAACAAGTGCTGGGCCCAGTTTCCAGACCCACCTGACCCTTCAACGCTCGACCAGACAGACAAGAACAAACTGCAGACAGATCTACTTAGCCTAGAATGCATTAAGACACTAAAGGAAGCATTACACCTGCATCACAAGAGAAGGAACTGTCCCGATCCCAGTTCATTGTCCAACTCAAACTCACAAGCAGCGGAGGAAGTTGTAGTATCAAGGAAACTTGGTAAGTTGGATGGAAGTTCTGGTCTAGGAAGCAACGATGTCCAAACGAATCATTCCAAGGAGATTTCAGAACCTACATTGACAGATGGGATGTTTAGTTCTGTGAGGTTCTGGGTTGTTGCTCTGTGGGCATTCTGTGGTTTGGGCTTCTTGACGGTCGCGTCGGTGCTGTTTTCAGGTCGTAAAGGGAAAGGTAAGAGAGGTAAAAGTCATAGAATTAAGAGAAGAAATTCTGGTACAGGATTTGTGGATGTTAGCAGCCGTGATAGGCATTTACGTGGAGGTGAGGTGCCTTCATAACATTCTCTTGTGAGGTAAATTCAGAAACTCCATCAAAAGTGGAGACCGAGTTTGATTTGCCATGAGTGATACAGTGACCAAACTCATCCATACGACATTACATTTACGCTATCCCACTACAATTTTTACAGTTTAGGGTTATCATAAGAGGAAGATGAGAGGCTACGTAGTAATTTTGACTTGATAGTGATATCACTTTGTATTTTACTCGTATTCTTTTCCATATCAAATCGTATACGTGCTTACAGTGTTGTTGCATAATATGCTTTTCTTTCACGCAGAGTTTTGTCTTCTTTGCGTATTTAAATTTTACAAATGTTGAAAGATATTTCAAGTTCGAAAACTATTTGTAACATGCTCATACCGTTTAAATTTGCCACTAGCATTTTGTTTGGGCCCAACCTTACATCTTTAGCTTGAAGCATCTCACAATTGACCAAAACGCTTCTTACCATTCTAACTTGATATGCTGTAAGATTGTTAATATTCTTGCAAGAGTGTATCCCACAACCATATTGTTTTATTTATTTATAAAGAGATCGATAAAGATACCATGATAAATAATTGGTTAAACGGTAGAATCTCTCCTAGTCGGTCATAGCTTCGAAAAAGCCGTACTTAATTGCGTGAGTCAACATCCTAATCTAAATATGATTGTGATTTGTTTTTGTTCTTAGATGATTTCCCACTGTAAATAGATTAGAAGTTATTATGGGATTTAATTTTCCTTGCACTACAAGGATTGTATCTAGGGTTTTGCCATTATAAATACTGAAAATATGACTTTAGCCTCTGAAACTCAAGTTTCTTTAAATAAAACCAGACATAGTCTTTTTATTGCACACATATACATTAGTAGTAAAATGTGCCCTGTCACATCCCGGCCCGGGTCCCCACCACATCCCGGGCTTGACTCCACCGTAGCATGATATTGTCCGCTTTGGGCCCCGACCACGCCCTCACGGTTTTGTTTCTAAGAACTCACACGAGAACTTCCCAGTGGGTCATCCATCCTGGGATTACTCTCGCGCGAACTCGCTTAACTTCGGAGTTCCTACGAAATCCAAAGCCAGTGAGTTCCCAAAAGATCTCATGTTAGGTAGAGATGTGAATATACATATAAGGCTTACATGATCCACTCCCTTGAACGATGTGGAATGTTATAGTCTAAGCGAAATATTAATCATACAAAAATTTATCAAGTTAGAGTTGCCTAAACAAAATGAAGGGTGGTTTGTTAATTCTTCCAAAGATTGATGATAATGGGTGAGGAAAATAACTCTTTTAAGTATTTCTACTAAACCCTATTCCATGATCATGACACTTTGCCTCACGCAGTAGGCAAGCGTCAAACGAATAGCCTCCAAAGGTCATACCGTCCACGTGGTCCAGAAGGGCAAATAGTTGAGCTCTCAAGCTTGAAATTTTGTGACAACATAAAAATTTTGTGCTCCTCCGAGATATAAATTTAAAACTAGAATTTTTTACCAATAATTTTTAGAGTTTTAACGAAATACTTTCCGTACTGTTCACTTTTAATGAAAAATCATATTTTTATCATTTTTCTGGTACTATTCATTACTCATTTATTTGTCGTTTTCATTAAAACTAAAGTTTTTTTGAACTTTTTATTAGTTTTTCTTAGTTTTTAATCATTGTATGATGTAGAATCTAACTGGGTACAAAAATTCTCAAAGCATACCAATAGTCTAATACTATCTAGAGTTTAGCATAGACTAGATTCGGAGGGAGGGGGACTTAAAATTCAAATTAGCAAAAAAATTAAAACGTTGGAGGAAAACCGTTGGAATGAACACGAGGGTCCTACAAACAAGAAAAACTGAAAAGATTTGAATTTATAAAAAGATTGGCTAATGCTAGAAAGATTATATTTTGAGATAAAATTTTGAAAATTAAAGAACATGGAAGTTGATGTTTGATTTATTACTTAAACGTTGATAAATTTGCACATTCATATTGATGATATATCATTTAATTATAAATTTAACCTCTAAATTTAGCTACTGTAGCATTATTTTTTGGAGCGAAAAGTCGGACGTCCACTTGTCACTTTGGCTTTGGCACCAATAATCCGAAGTCTCATCTCAATCTCCAATTCTCTTTGCGGCCCTGCCGGGGTCCCTCCCAACTTTTCCACGACACTTTTCATTTCAAATTTCAAATTTCGAAATCGACGACCACGACGACGACCATCCTCACGATTTATGCGAATCGTAAATCCGACATTTGATTAAACAAACAGAAGGGTTTGGTTTTTTTGCCTCAGAGTTTGGATCTTTGGGACGACAACATCGAATTCATCCCAGAAATCATGGGAGAATCGACGTGTCTAATGCAGCCGTTCTCCTATGCTTCCGGCATCCCCAACGACGCATACGAGGTCAGTTCTTCGGTTTTTGTCTCTATTTTTTTGTGATTTTTAAGGTTGAATTTCCATGTACAGAGCACTTTTTACTTGCTGGGTAGTTTTTGGAATTCAGTTTTTTGAGAATTGTGAAAGCTGGGAACTTTGAATTGTCGCAGGGGAACCCGATTCATGCTCTCGGGCAGTCAGTGTCGTTCGGGAGGTTCGTGTCGGAGTCCGTAGCTTGGGATAAATGGTCGACAATCTCGCACAACCGCCATGTGGAGGAAGCCGAGAGGTACTCCCGCCCCGGTTCAGTTGCGCAGAAAAAGGCTTTCTTTGAAGCACATTACAAGAAAATTGCTGCTCAAAGAGCCGCTGCGGTGCTTGAACAAGCCAATGCCAATGCCAATGCTAATGCTGCTGCTGCATTGGAAAATACCCCCGAAACCAAATGTGAAAGTCGGGATCTTAAGACGAGGATTTCATCCTCTGAAGTGTTCGTCGATAAGCAAAGGGAAGAGAAAGAGGGAGGGGAGGTCTACGAGCCAAATCAAGAAGAAGAATGCATTGGTAAATATACCAATGACTATAATGCAAACACTGAAATGGAAAATTTTGGAAGCAGCAAGGTGCACCCTATAGATCATGAAGACCAAGTTTTGGTGGTGAATTCCGCTGAGGTAGAACTTTCGAGCCGAAGTGCTGATAACAAGAAGGAGGTAAACGAAATGGATCTCACCGGCACTCCCCAGATCGAAATGCCTCTGTTGAAGGTATAAATCTTGATTTCCAACCGATACTTTTCACACTCATTGACTTATGAAGGTTGCTGACAACCTGCATTAATTGTTGCTTCAGCAAAGTTACAGCTCGAATCAAGAAGCTTCGACACCAGTGAAAGCGAAAAAAACCAGACCTTTTATTTCCTCCAAATCATCATTAACATATCATAAAGCACCCAAGGTCCCATCTTCTCCAACCAAATCCACTGCTCCTAGTTGTTCCAGAAAGGATGACATTATCACTCCATTGCGTAAATATCCGGATGCAGAACTGGAGGACAAGAAGAAATCAACTCCGAAATCAATTCACAAGTCGGTCAGGTTTACACCTATCAGGGAGCTTTCTAGGCTGACTTCAAACGTCATCAGGAAGATTGAAAACTCAAGAGCTGGTGCTAGTTCTTCCAAGAAATCGAAAGATTGCCCGACTCCTCTGAGGACTCCAACTACGGTGCCTTCCAATTTCTTTGAATATTTTGCCAAAATCGCCTCCGAAAGTTAGCAGCTTTGCTAGCCACGCTAACTTCTACACTTTTATCTTTCAATCTGCAGGTATCTAAGAATGAGGTGCGCCAGCATTCCACCACCACCCCATGTTCAGAAAAGAGAAGGTAAGACTGATCGTATGAAAAACAGCAAGCGTTCCGCTTTCCAATCGATATATGATTCATGTCTGACCCTGTTTCTGCGTATGTATTTCATGAATCACAGGGCCAAAACACCACTTGATCCCTCAGCTAGTGGAACCAAAACTCCTGTGTCCAAATGGCGTTCACTCCGCACAGAGTATGTGCCTCAACTTTTATCATCTTTCCTGTACAATTTACGTGTAGTATCAAGAAATGTTCACAATTTACCGAGTGCATATATCAGTATTAAGAATAACTAGAGAAGATAAATGTAGTCATAAATTTATGAATTAATGGTTATGTTGGTCTCACGTAGTGCCGCTCGTTTAGGACTTTGAGTTCTTATGATTTTCTTTCTCCCAATTTGGCCAGTTGTTCAAAGATTTTGAGTGCCTGCAGAAACAAGGCGAGGTCCCCATTTTCATCGGCCCCCTTCACCTTAAAAACTGAAGAAAGAGCTGCAAGTAGAAAGAAGGCAAGGGTTTGCCTATTTCTTTTTTATACATGTTCCTGAATTCTAATCATATCTACGTTATGAGATAGAGTTATATATGTGGTTAAAGTTCTAATCGATGTCATGTTCTTGCTCACCGCTTACCAGAAGCTCGAAGAAAAGTTTAATGCGAATGAGGAACAAAAGGTGCAGGCGCAAAGAAAACTCAAGGTTGTTCTCTCATTACCAAGCTTCTTCAATCCTCTGTAATTTTAGTCCGTACAAATTGTAAAAACCTAGAGCTAGACTGGTTTTATTTACAACAACTTTCGATTAATACCTTAATCGCTATTGTCATGCAGGAGAAAGAAGAAAAAGAGATTGGAAAGTACCGCCAAACGCTTTGCTTCAAGGCCAGGCCACTTCCTGATTTCTATAAAGACAGAAAATCACCAAAGAAGGAGATACAGAAGGCAATGTTTGTCCTTAAGCCAGTTCAAATGCTCCTCACTGAAAGCCTAAACGTTTTCTAAAGTTTGGTTATTTTCCCCGCTTTCTTCCTGCAGGTTCCAGTTACTCCTCAGTCAAAGAATCCAAGCACAGTTGAGAGCTCAACGCCTCGACCTCCTAGTGGAGCTTCAATCAAGAGCATTAGCCAAGGAAGGAATAACCGAACCCCAACTCGTTCTCTCATTTCACGATCCATTAAGACTACTCGCGAGAATAAATCTCCAAATATTCAGCTTGGATAACATAAGCCTGAAAACAAGTTTCTGTTGGAGCAGAAGCGAGAAGTATTGGTCCTGCTCAAAGCTTCGAGCAACTTTTAGATAGTCTTGATTGCACCGCATACCAACATGAGTTTGCCTGAGACACAGAAACATGCATAGAGATTGTGAGCAAATTCGTTCTTGTATGAAGAGTGTAGTTTGTAACTAGTAGTCGTGTAGCATGATTTGTTTAAACTCGAGGAAATGTAGAAATTTTGTAAAGCAGCAAACCTGGAATTTCCACTCATCAGAATCTCATAAATTTCAATGCACGGCTTGCACAAAACTCGTATAAACTCGAATTTCATACAATTACAAGCAACTGTTTCCGTAGATAAATCGAAAGCTTCATCAGGGAGATAAAAACAGAAGGTGAGGAATGAGGAAAGTTTCAGTAAAATACAAGAGCCATCATTCACCCGAACACGTAAACATACAAGTTAAAATTACCGGCACCATAACAGTGGGACAATTTGTAAAAAATTATAAGATGTAAACATACAAGAACTACAAATGCTTTCTTTACTGATAAGCTTACTTCTTAGCTTCTATTGTATCAATTGGGTGGGAAAATTGACGGTCCCAAGCCCGGATAAAGGAGAAGGGGATGACTTCAGGTAGTCGACAACTGACATTTCGTTTTTATGTCAAATTCCCATAATAATGAACCGGCATTTCGTTTTCATGTCAAATTCCTATGATAATGAACAGCTGACCCCATTAGGCTTTGCTGTTGTTGTTTGGGCGAGAAAATTGATGGAAAATTCAAACTTTAGTCCTCAAATGCAAATACACATCGGGTCAGAGTCCTAATCAGCAAGTAGCAATTTCCAGTTCTTCAACATTACATGAATGCCAGCAGTATAAAATCAAAACTTGGGAAGATCAGAATGATCAAAACTTTCATTATCTCCAATAAAAAAGGAATGCCAGCAGTATAGTAATACAATCTCTTTGCAAAATGAGAGTAATGTTGCGGAAGATCGTCTTTTTGCAAAACGGAGAACTTTATTGGCTTAGAGTCACTCTTTTCAAGAGAATCTATAAATGGAGTGAGGGAGAAACAAACGTATAAATATACACAATCGACTACATCCAAAAATCTCTACTAAATATAAAAATACTTAAAAAGTAAGTCGAAATTAAGAAATACAATTTTCATCATTATCAATAACTCGTACATCAATGATTTAATAAGAAACAATAATTAAAAGATAATAAACAATAATTAAACCACAAATCACGTTTGTGGTACTAAACACCAACCATCATCTTCCTCGATTTGATGATCAATCACACAATCCACATTAGAGAAACCCATCTCTTCATCATCACCACGATGCTCAACATCATCAACATTATTTTCCACCTTCCGATCATCATCTCTATCATAATATCCAATTGCAGAACCATTGATTTCATGATCATCGTCACCATCATCATACTCATTCTCATAATCCCTAGAGAGACGATCCAACATCCCCGTGGCGGACAAACCCAATTGACTATTCAAGCCGGGTTGCCCGTCCACGACCCGCCAAGTGACCAACCGATGATTGGAAACGACGTTGGATGACTTGAGCTTTCGGTTGCCCTTGGTCTTGTCCTTGGCCTTGGAAGCCGGGTGAATGTGACACTCGGTGCACTTGGGCTTGCTGCACTTGCCGGTGAACTTGGAGTGGTTGGTGGGCTTGGTTGGCACCTTGGTGAACAATCCGGCCGTGGGCGGAGACTCAAACTTGTTGACGTGTCGGGTTGCCGGTCTCAGGTTCAACGGCTCCGGTAGGATCCGGTGTGTCCGGACCATCCCATGCTGGCGACCCTCTCTCTTCATTGTTGACAAATTGGGTTGTGGGCTAAAAGCAAAGAAAGAAAAAATGATGGAGTTGTTGATATTTTGCTTCTCTTTTATATACTGCATACGATAACTTGGGAAGCACGGAATTGTTTGGTGGGTGGATAATCCGTGTTGGGCAAGCCATTGACAAAATTGACAACTCATGTATTATTATTTTTTAATTAATTAATTATTTGTTTTTAAAGATGAGACAGAGACTAGCAATAGCCAATTTGCTTATGAATGAGATTCTACGGTCTTTCACAGAGACTGAAAAACTGAGTGTGATATCAATAATATAAGAATCAAACTTATATCGTAAGTCGGATTATCTTAGTACTATGAGAATGATTTTTATTTTTTTTAGTTCAATATAGGTAGCAAATATTTAAAAAAAAAAAAAAGTGAATGGGTCCCACATTTAATATATAAAACTCTATGTACATATAGGTATCATACTACGTACACTTAGAGTGCCTGATTTCTACCATTAGACCTTAGAGTGGCACCTTACTCAACATTTATTGGTTCTATTAAAAAAATTAATAATTCTTTTTTCTGGCTAATTGGTCGTGTCATACTATATAATCAAAATCGAAATTGTTTATAGTGCCACTGTACTAAGCCCCCAACCTTATCGGAATCGTTTATTTACTTAATCATTATTTATAGGTTATTACTACAGAAGGATCAATTATAAACAGGAGGTCGTTTAGTAATTCGTAGTCATAGAACAAATCGATGATTCATCTACCAAACTCGACAATTTAGTTTATGAACTTGGGTGATTAAATGATGTTCAATCTGAATAATTCAAATAGCGACGTTTGTACGATGAAAATACATTAACTATAAGTGAGCCAGAAAAAAGGTGCATTCAGGAGGTGGACAAAAGTTTTCATGAGATGTGAGCCACAAGGCAAAGGGAGGCACCTTGAACTGCAAGGTTTAGGGTTAGTCTCAATTCCTTTTCCAAAAACTCCCTTGGCTCCTTGGATTCACAAACTTTGAACTGTAAGTCACAGGTTTTACAAGAAGCAACAAGCTCGCGATTGTACCAATTAAACCGAAAAACGGAACCACAAATCACGTTCGTGGCACTAACAACTAACCTTAATCTTCCTTACTTTGGTAATCTGTCACATAATCGCTAGAGAGATGATCATCGCCATCATCTAGTACATAACTAGGGTTCCAAGTTTTCGGCTCTCAGTTTACCCCGAAAGAATAAGAGTTCAGTAAAATTTGTACTACATATAGTTGAACTGCATAATGTTCATACAGCGAGGCTACTTTTGACGCTCCAAATGACTGTTTTTCTTATTCCCTGTACACAAAGAAAGTAAAATACAAGAGACAACCGAAAGTTTACTAAATCTTACATACCAGATGTAAGCTGTAAGTGTAAGCTGATATCTTACACGTTGAGAGGTCAAGCCGAGCTTGAAGCTTCATACATTTTCTGAAACTGGATCATCGGAAGACTTGATAAGTGGTTCCGTGCTCTCATTACTGATGATTTTAGTGGTACGTGGTTCCGTGCTCTCCTTACTGATGATTTTAGGGGCGATCAATGCCCAATTGCCGCGATACAGCACAAAGTGTTGACTCATGAATATAAGGTCAAAGAATATAGATATCTGAAACAGTAAGAAGAGGCACAAATCATTTAACGAAAGAGGAACAAATCGACTTGTTCAAGATGTTGATATCAGTCCATACCAAAGACAGCAGCGTCTTTCCTATATTTCCATAGAAGTTCACCCAAGAACCTGGTAGGCGCACAAGTTAGAAACAAATTAAGCACGAAGGAACAATGTTATCAAACTGAAACTATATATCATTGGTTGAGGAAGAGATGATGAACCTTGATCTATAGACTGCACGGCCATTTGTGCATAATTAGCCACCCCTCCGGAAAAATCAAGTAAAATGCTGCCAATGCTGAATCCATCTGTGCTCTTCCGCAGGAAGTTCATGAACGCCTATACTTTGAAATAAGTTTTGTATCAGCACAGACTTACTGTTCTTTCCTACCTATCCATATACTCTATATTGAATGAAGCGAATGCATTGAGGACCGGAATGTGAAGTATTTGAAAAGGATTATAGGATGCAATACTAACCTGGGGAATATATTTGATGACTGTCATAAAAACTTGAATTGAGCTGCAACAATATTAAATGAACTGAATTTAGAACGAGAACTTCACACAAACCCAACTACCGCTGAATACAACAAAGCCGTATGAACAAAATAAATTGAATAAAGTTTCAAGGCAACAGAAGGTAAATAGATCTTGACATCTGCTTTGCTACAAAAAAAAATCATCGTAATTTGGAAAACGGTGGTTTGGTTTATGCATAACGACGACTGAGAAGATAAAACTATTAAACGTCACCAGAGAGGATGCACATTAAAGACATCCCATGTAAGAAAAGAGCGTGAGTTCAAAATTGATCCTAAATCATTGTTGAGAAATGTGGCCGGATTCAAAGCTCGTTGTCAATGTTTAACTTACTTAGGTAGAGGCAGTTCAAAATTCACGATAGAAGATCTTGATGTGTGAAAAAAATGATGAAAATTATACACAACAAATTAAGGTATTTGAAAATTACTCAGAAACTTAGGGCTTGTTTGGTATCTAATTTAAATTTTTTTATAATTTCTCAAAACATTTCTTAAGAATTTTTCTTGAAAACAATTTTCTTTAAAACTAAAAAGCTTGTTTGGTTTGCGATTTAAAAATTCTAAATCTTATCATTTAAACTGGACAAAGATATCTAAAAAGAGGGGGTCTGAGAGAGAAAGATGATAAAGGAGGAAAGAAAGTAAGAGATAATTGGAGGAAAGAGAAAGAAGTGAGAGGATCGGAGGAGATAGAGAGGAAGAGGAGTTAGAAAAAGAACCGAGAGAATGAAGAGAGCGGATTGGAGGAGAGATGAAAAAGGTAAAAAAAAGAAAGAAAAGGGCGAGAGAGAGAATAAAAGAGATATAGATTTGGAGCGAGGGGGGAGGAGGGAGGGAAAAGAAAGGAGTGAGTTTAATTTTAAAAACTCTAAAAACTTACGTTTTTTTGTTTTTAGAGAATAGACTATGTTTTTGAGTTAGTCTTGAGTTCAGTTTTTGAAAATAGTCCTACCAAATAAGTTTTTAAAGCCTAAAGCTTGAAAATTGTTTTTGAGTTTAAAAAGTTGAATTCAAATATAATACCAAACAGACTCGTATTGTCTTTTAGAGAAAACCTTCAAAAATCAAGTCTCGGTCATAATTTACACGGACAATACAATGAAATTTGAGGCACAAAAACATAAAGGAAAAAAATCTTACTTGAAAATTGAGATCAACCAAAGCCAGGAATGGGTTGGCAGAGCTAAGAAAACACAAACTGCAGCACCTAACCACACGGCAGCAACAATTCCAAAGGAAATCTTGGAGACCTTCTGATTTCCGCGCTGCATAAAGCCATCACCAAAAGGTCAAATATGAAACTTGCCGTGACAGTGCGACTGACATCAGGATTGTGAGTGTATAACACATATTAAAATCTAAACTAGGCAAAGAAGATCAAGACACACTTCATAGATTGCAATTTGGCACAGGGTAACTGCCGTCATCAAAACGGCATGAATAGAGAAAGCAACATCATTTGCTGCAACAGGTATCATCTGCAATCATAGGACAAGAAGAGATTAGTACTTCCAAATATACATATAATCTATCAACTAAATCTCTTTCCTTCCATTAGGTGCACTAGCTAATCAACCAAAATACAACCTACCCAATTGTGAAAATGTAAATTTCGACACAAAAAACCGAAGCTTTAAGCCATCTCTAACAAAAACTCTTTTACCCTCCTTCAAGAAATTAATATTTAATAAACAGTGCATGATCATATTTTTTATCATCTTTAACCAAAGGGCCAGAAGGCCACAGACCAAACATAGTCCTTTGACAAAAAATCATCTCAACCGAGGGCCAAATAGCTATAGTATGGAACGTGAAGAATTGAAATAAAATAAGGTAAGATAGTATGGAATGGTGAAAAATATGTAAGAAATGGTGTAGGAAAAAATTAGAAATTAAAAAAAAAAGTCCAAAAAAAAAATGAGCTGGGCAAAAAAAAATCCTAAACCCTAAAGTAGGCTGGGCAAATGGAAAAGAACAAAAAAAAAGTGGGTTGGCTGGTTTTGGACCGGTGGAGCCTACAAGCCCTTTAGCATAATCTTCGGTTAAAGACGATTTTGTTATATTTCAGGCTGGCTAAAGACGGTTTTCTTATCATTTCAGGCTATTTTCAGCCCTATAACCCTCTGATCGGATCGGTTGGAGATGGCTTATGATTGAAAACAGAGAACACAGCTGCTGGGAATGAAAGCAACCATAAGAACGAGTAGCTAGGGAGAGGGAAAACAGAACAGAACAAACCTGTTCTTTGCCGTACTTTTCAAAGTACTGCTTTTGGACTGCGGAGCTGAAGTAGAGACTGGCGTTGTAAATGAGATAGGCGGATTGCTTCGTCAAATTCAGCACCACGAAATCGAAGTTCAGCCCCACAACACTGAAATCCGAAATTCAAAATTTCAGACTCGCCATCCAAAAATTTAAAAAGAAAAAACCCATTTCGAATTTCACAAGACAAAATCTTGGTCGGAGTCGAATCCCCGAGAAAATAGATACGGGAATTAATCACCTTTTCCGGCGGAAATTTAAGACGATTTGCGGATAGCCACCGACGGTCCAACTCAGGAACGCCACCCATCCCAGAACTTCGTATGTGATTTCCAACGGAATCGAATTCCACGACGCCATTCCTTTCCTCCCCCACTTTACCTCTCTCTCCTCCCGGTTCCCACTCAGCCGGCAGCGAGAGGATTCCAAGCAGCCTTAAATTTTGTCGATCAAAAGCGCGGGGAGAGAGCAAGAGCGAGAAGGAAGAAAGGGTGGGTTAAATTTCAACTGTCATTCGCCGGTCCGTTCCGCGTGGGCCCCACTCGATGACGTGGCTCGATTTGGCGACGTACACGTAACCTTATGAAGGTACGATTGGCGCGTCTTTTCTTTTTATTTCAAAGTTTCTGTAGCGAGAGGTTTATGAATTTAGGCCATCTTGGCGTGAATGTTCATTGAGCTGCGGCCCCCATGACTTTCAGTTATTGTTTTTAACGTATAAGTCTATACGGCGCCAAATTCCAACGTCATCACCTTCGTCAGGTTATAGACCGAAGCGTAGTTAAGTTTGAATCTTTATGTCTATATAAGTTTGAGTCCGCAGTTCGCATCATATTAGTTAAAGATTATATTACAAATACTAAAGTTAGAGAGATTACATTTTTTTCTACCGCTCAAAATGAAAAAAACAAGAAAGCGAGAAAAAAAAATATTTTTTTATTATTGTACTGTTATTTATAAATAATTTAAAGGCTTCTTATCTAAAATGGTCTTGGAGATTTGCATAACACATCACTCAATTTCGTTGAGTATTGAAGAAGTTATGAACGTTTAACGTTTACCCAATTTCCGGCGAGTTTTTCAGTTTTCCCGCAGACCAGTCATCTTTCAAGCTATTTTCCGGCCATCTCTGGCAACCATTGGTCTTTCAAATAGGTATAATCTTGTTCTACACTTTCCTATTTTCATTTTGATATATTATGGGTCGAATTTGGTTAAGAAACGATTAAATTACGAAGCTTTGAAAATTGCCCAAACTTCAATAATGGATTGTAGACAATCTCAGAGACTATTTCTATTGATTTTCAATCTCAATGACCAAAGTAATGTGCTATGCAAATCTTAGACACCATTTTAGCTAAAAAAAAACCTAATTTAAACTCTTATTGTACCCAACTTCACCACATTTTCTTGAACATATTGTTCTGATTGAGTAAGAATTAGTTCTTATACCACTTGTTCCGAACTGCACAACTATTGTCCTAATTTTACGACCTATATCTATAGTTCTATACCAAGTAGGATTATTTCCTCTTCAAATCCCCATCTCTTCGGTTCCCTTCTCTCACTTTTCTCTTTTTCTTTTCTTTCTATAACAAAGTCAATACTAAGTATTGACTGACTTAATCGTGACCATACATATAGGAAGGGACGGGAGGAGAATTGGAGATGAAATGATTTGAGAAAAGTTACCACCAAATATACGGACGATTTCTTATCTCATCTCTTGATCAAGCCAGTTTGCAAGCAAAGATTTATACATTTTCATGAACTACGTGATGGATCGGAAGACTGGACTGGACCTAAGAACTGAGTGGCTCCAAGCTCTCCTTGAAGTAGTCAAGATCCGCCATTGTAGCGATCGGAGATCGATGAGAATTTACTGATTGAGAACTTTCTGTTTTCTAATTTTTATATATGTTACAAAAAAATTTCGACAACTTCATTATTTTTAGCTTCAATACAGGATGCAATTTTAAGGTGTGGCGTTTTATCTCAAAATATGCTAATACAATTTAGAGAGAACTTCAACTTAATATACATTTTATTAATATCAAACATGTTGAGATCCAAGCCGAAGCTCAAAGCTTTATACATTTTCCGAAACTGGTTCATCGGAAGTCTTGACAAGTTCTTCACCATTCTTGCCACGATACAGCATGAAATGTTGACACATGAACAGAAGGTCGAAGAAGATAGATATCTGAAATTTCAGTAAAAGCAACGTCCACGTATAAGTGTAAAGCCCCAAGAGCGTTTCAAATTGAGACAGATTAGAACGATAAAATGAAAGAATGATTGTATATATCAGTTCGTACCAGAGACAGCAGTGTCTTTCCGATATTTCCATAGAAGTTCACCCAAGAATCTGGAAAGGTGCACAAGTTAGAAACAAATTAAGCTCGTAGGATCGATGTTATCAAACTGCAAATATCATTGGTTGAGGAAGAGAATTACGAACGTTGATCTATAGACTGCATGGCCATTTGCGCATAACTAGCTGCCCCTCCGGAGAAGTCAAGCAAAATGTTGCCAATGCTGAATCCATCTGTGCTCTTTCGAAGGAAGTTCATGACCGCCTATACTTTGAACAGTTTAAATTGCATCAGTCTGTTGTTTCATGGTAAAATATTAACACAAGCAGTAATTACAGTTTCGTTTCTTTTCTTCATTTCCTATGTATCTAGATACTCTACATATCGAAGGATGGCGAATGCTTTTCACAATGAAAATGCATGGGCAATGCATCGAGTAACGAATACTAACCTGGGGAATATATTTGATGCATGTCATAGAAACTTGAATTGAGCTGCAACAAAATCAAACGAATTGAAGCCGTAAGGCTGTATGAAGAAATTCAACTGAATAAAGTTTCAAGACAGAAAAAGGTAACCAGATCTTGGCATCTACACTGCTACATATCATTTTAATTTGGAAGGAGGTAGTTCGGTAACGGTTTATGCATAAAGAGGACTGGGGAGATAAATCTATTAACCATCCCCAAGTAAGGAAGGAGTTGAGTTCAAATGCTGAGAAATCGCCTCGCTTAATCAGCACATTATACTAAATGCGACTGGATTTGAAGCTCATTGTCTACGTTGAACTTATTGACATAGAGAAAGTTTGGAATTCCCATGGAGGTCTTGATGTGGGAAAGAGTGATGAAACTCGAGGCAAAGAAACACATAAACGAAAGAATCTTACTTGAAAACGGAAATCAACCAAAGCCAGGAATGCCTTGGCAAAGCTATGAAAACACAGACTGCAGCAGCTAACCACACGACAGCAACAATTCCAATGGAAATCTTGGAGACCTTCTGATTTCCGCGCTGCATAAAGCAATCAACGACACCTCAAATACAAAACTTGCCATGACCATATGACTAACATCAGGATTTCGAACCTATAACACAGGTTTTAAGTCTAAACGTGGCGAATTAAGATCAAAACACTTACTTCATAGATTGCAATTTGGTACAGGGTAACTGCCGTCAGTAAAACAGCATGACAAGAGAAAGCGACGTCATTTGCTGCAACAGGTATCATCTGCAATCATAGAACACAAAAAATTGTACTTCCGAGTATACATAATGAAGTATCAATTCAGTCTCATCGATATATCCTTCCTTTTAACGAGCGCTGATTACTTTCATCACTTTTGAGATTCCAGACGATGCAAATTAGGGAGCTGAACATCTACTCTCAATAGAATCCTAAAAAATAAAATTTACGTGCCCAAAAACAGCGAAACACACTAGAAACACCAGGGTCGGGTTGGGAAAACTTTCTGAGGCGTAAATTGGTTGATGTCCTCAAAATCCAGCGTACCGTATGTCAGCAACAAAATAAACTAAAGCAATAGAGGTTGGTCTAAAACTGATATATATATATATATATATATATATATATATAATACAATCGTTAATGTAATCCATAAACTTGTATCAAGTGTCAACATTTAATCTTAGAAGATTAGACCCTTTGCCACTCGACCAAAATACAACCTACCCGATTGTGAAAGAAAATGTAAATTTTGACCCAAAAACTGAAGCTTTACGATTGGAAACAAAGAACACAGCAGCTGGGGATGTGAAAAACAATCATATGAACAAGTAATTAGCTGAGGGAGAGGAAAAACTGAGCAAACCTGTTTCTCGCCGTACTTTTTGAAGTACTGCTTTTGTACGGCGGAGCTGAAGTAGAGACTGGCGTTGTAGATGAGATAGGAGGAGTGCTTCGTCAAATTCAACACCACGAAATCGAAGTTCAGCCCCACAACACTGAATCGAAACCCAAACCCAAATTCAAATTCAAATTCCAACTCACCCACCAAACTTTAAGGGTCGTTTGATAATTATTTCGTTTCCAAATTTTATTTCGTTGTTTCTGAAAAAATGAAAACTAAAAACTACTTCTTTTTAGTTCGGTTTTCAATTTTTGGATCTTTTTTGAAAATTCACAAATGGAACGAGTTTTCGGAACACCGAGGAGGAATTAATCACCTTTTCCGGCGGAAATTCAAGATGACTTGCGGGTAGAAGCTGATGGACCAACTCACGAACGCCATCCATCCCAGCACTTCGTACGTGATTTCCAGCGGAGTCGAGTTCCACGACGCCATTCTTTTCTCCCCAGTTTCTCTCTCCTCCCTTCTTACTAGTCCGGCGGGAGGGAATCCGATGAATCTTCAATTTTCTCCGATCAAAAACGCGCAGAGAGAGCAAGAACGCGAAGAAAGAACGAAAGAAAGCAAGAAAGAAAGATGGTCTGATTTGCTTCCAAATTTGCATGCAATCCCTTGACTTTTATCCAACTGTAAGTCTGTGATTCGCCCCAACACTCCTGGTGGGCCCCACTTGATGACGTGGTCCCACTTTCCGATGTAGCTTTATCATTTATGGAGCTTCGATTGGCAGCTTTTATTTTCTTTTAAAATTTGGTGTAATAAAAGGGTTTATGAAGTGTAACTGAAAAGGGGGATTATGAATTGAGGACATTTACGTGGGAATGTTCATTGAGTTTGTTGCCAGAGTAATGTTAGAGAGACTAAATTTATAAATTAAATTTTGAAAACTAAAGAATATGGAAATCGATGATTGGTTTATTACTTAAGCGTTGATAAACGTGTTCATTATTATTGGTGACACGTCATTTAATTTACAAATTTATTCTTCCTAGCATTACCTTTGTCATAGATATATTCATTGCTCTTTCTGTGTCCCCATGATTTTCTGTTATGGATTTTAATGCATATGCCGCCAAATGCATCATCATTGACCTCTATTCAAATTTTAGTGCACGTTTGATGGGTCGGACGTGATGAGATTTTGTATTTTGGACTTGTTAGGTTAAGATTGGATTGGATATGCGGGGCTTTTCTTCTATTGTTTGGTATAGACAAACTCAACTGGTTAGGATTGGATTGAAAACAGCCTTAACCCACAACCTTCCTAACTCCGTCACGAAACGCAACCTACAATGGCGTGAGACCCATGACCCACAATGTTGTGCAAATTGAACCCAGAGTCAATCTTTATAGGGAGTTTTAATGAAACACTCTGGTACTATTTACTTTTAACAAAAAACTACATTTTTACCTTTCCCTGGTACTGTTCACTACACCGTTATTTGTCATTTTTTATTTAAACTAAAGTTTTTTTGAACTTTTCGTTAGTTTTTCTCTTTTTTATACCCTTTAATCTCAATCACACCGGAAAATTGTCGGTCACTACCCACACTCAACGCTGCTGCTCGCGGTGAGATTTGCAACTCGTATATGAAGATGGGTTAGATAACCGCCTCTATTGATCCAAATGGACTCAAAGGTTACTAAAGTCCATTACCATCCTAACGGGCTTTACAAGGCCCAATCTAATTTTGAATTGGGGAACTCCAAAGCCTCCATTCCAAAATTCCAAATGCAACATCTTTCTCCCTTCCTGCTTTTGCCCTCCGCAACCCCAAAAACAAAACCCTAATTTCAGTCCAGTTCTGAAATTGGAAACTCACTCTAATTGCAATCCATGGCGAATTTGCTGATTAACAGGACCCTAAGATCAGTCGGAAACCTCAAACTGATCGGATCTCTCTCTTCTCGAGCTCGCCACTTCAGCTCCTCCGCCACGGCTACCGCCGAGCAGCCCCAATCCGATGCTCCATCTTCGTCATTCACCTTCTCCTCCGAGGGAAAAGAAGACAAGAACAACAGCAGTGCCCACGATGACAGCATATACGTCAAGTCGCCATCGAGTTCGAGCTCCAAGAGCGAAGCGGCGTCGTCGGTGACGATGCCGATGTCGTTCATGACGGGGTCCATCGTGGGAAAGAGATTTTACAAACAGGTGACGACGAGGCCGGCTGATGACGGCAATGGCTGGACTGTGATGCTCGATTACCGGACACTCAAAACGCCATCGAAGAGGCCCCTAAAGCTTCCTACTTTAGCTCTGGCAAAGGCCATTGCGGCGGAATGGGAATACCAGGTGATCTGATTTTCTGCCCTTGTTTCAATTTCCAGAAGCTTAGATCAATTGGGTTTCCGTTTCGCTCAAACTTGGAACTTGAGGACTTAGCTCAATTGGGTTTTACTCAAAATCGCAACTTGTTTAGTTTTTGGGGCCTTTTAGTTCATAGTAGCTTCACTCAAATGAGCTTTCCCCAATCGGCTTTTCGGATTCTCCTTAATTTAGGTGTATGTTTTTGTGTTCTAATTTGAATGTTTTGCATTTTAGTAGTAGCTCAATTCAAATTCAAGTTGCTTTTCAAAGTTGAAAGCAAGAAAAGTAGGTTTCTTTCCGAATTGAGCTTCTGTTCCTCTATTCTGTTATCGAAAAGCTTTTCTTCGGGATTACGTGTTTTTCTTGAATTCTGTTGAGCTTCTGCTTGTTATTATGTATGGTGGTTTGTCTTATGAAACTTTATGTATTTTTAGGAAACAGATGGGATTAGGCCCTTTACAATGCCTCTCATGAAGCATGCTTGTACTGCACTGGAGAGAGTTCCTCTCACACGGCCAAAGGTTATAGATTATTTGATGAAGAAATTCAATCAAGATTTAGTCTTCTGTCGCGCCCCGAACGACAATGATATCACAAGTGTTGTCCATGGTATGATCTTTTTTGTGTGTCTGATTATTTACTGCTTTGAACCTTCCGTGAAATTGCTTGTGTTACTCCTTGAAAATAATAATTTTATATTTTAAGATAAGAGTATATTTGTTGCTAAGACATGGCACCCCGAATCTTATGTAGACCGACAAGTGGAAAAAATGGATCCTTTGCTTGATTGGGTGAAGTCAGAATTTGGCTTCAAGCCTGCTGTGTACTCGAGCTTTTTTGGTGGGAAGCAGGAGGATGGCCTCACAAGGGCTATAGAGACCTTACTAAAACAAACAGATGACTGTGAATTGGCAGCAATTGACGCCATCGCATCATCAGCACACTCGCTAATAATTGCTATCGGAATTTTTCGTGGGAAGTTACAGATTGAAGAAGCAATCGAGTTGATCAGACTTGAAGAAGATATACAGGTTCTAATTCATTTACTTCTCTCTATCAAATTGGTGCTGACATAACAAACTCTTGCAAAGTCTTATAAAACTGCATCTTATTTCGCAGGTGGATAGATGGGGTTTGGTTGAAGGCGGTCATGATGTTGATGCAGCTGATCTCCGGGTACAGATCTCATCAGCTGCTGTATTCTTAGGTCTGTCAAGAAGGATTTAATCTTCATACATCTCGTCTCCGGTCTCTTACCTTTTCATATCTTTGTAAGAGCGGTCTTAGGCGGGGAATTTTTAGGATGCTTATGTTGCTATAGATATGTAGAACTCTTCTTGTGCTGCCCAAAATTTTCTGAAACTCTGCTGTGATCGATGAGATGAGGTAAAGGAATGATGTAATAATTGGCTTTGCGATTCACTGCAATAAAGTCTCGCGCTCTCTTGCACAATAGGGAGCGAAAGAGCTAGTTTCTTCTCTGCTACAAACCTCTCCAAATTCGTGTTGATTTCATGAACCTAACCTAACCAAACTAAGCCTTAGCAGTCTAAAGTGTTGTTCGAAGAAGTCTTCGACATGTAGATTTACGTTGAAATTGAAAGCTTAAAGTGTAGAACCGACGGTATCATATACAGGCTGTGTAGTGGTCATTGTTGCATCCTGCAGAAAATCATGCTAATCACATTGCTTCAGACCGAAGTTAGGTCAAGCGAAACATAAGCGTAAATGGAGCAGACAACGGAGTTTGATCATGAAATGTCTGAACCTTGAATGGTGTTTGAGTGGATCTGTATAGGATTCAGATTTTTGGATAAAAGCTTCTAGTTTGACATAGAAGATAAGAAAGATAACGACACCGGCGCTCGGCCTGATGCTAAAGATTTATAAACAAAAACAACATGCTTCCTTCCCAATTTTATTAAAGGGATGAAAAGATACAATCAGTTCATTAATTATTTGCTCAAACCACATGACTGATGAACCCTGAAAAATTCCCAGAATAAATGGTTGAAATAAACACACCATTTGCTTTCAGAAACTCAGGGCTTCAGCTGCAGCTGCTTGATATGTTGGATCTGCTTTCCGGGGTTCAAACCCTTCGGGCAGGCACGAGCACAGTTCAATATGGTATGGCATCGGTAGAGCTTGAACTCGTCGTTTACTGCATCCAGTCGCTCCTTAGTGTATTCGTCACGGCTGTCACTTATCCACCTGCATAACAACACAAAAATGACTCAGGATGTAGCGTTCACCTCCAAGGATATACAACGAAAATGTACAACTACAGCAAATTGCATATGCAGAGGAGAAAATCACAATTATATACTCCGAGTACAATTAGGAATGTTTCGAGCTTGATAGGCAAGGAACAAACATTGTTTGACAGACATCCTATCCCAAAAACATGAGATTAAGCACTACACTGCAAAATGTGGTTTGGATCTTGTTCCAAATCAGTTTTTTCTTCAAGTTCTTGCCTTTCGAAGATGGCACCCAAAACCCTTATCATCACCTTCGAAACAATCTCACTACAACCTACGCCATGAGCTCCGGCACACAAAATGCAGCTCTATGTTAGTTACTATCTACTACTCTCGGTCACTCAACGTTCAACACGCCAGACAGATCACTGAGACAGCTAAGATTTGAGTCACGAGCAGATCTCTAGTTTGTTATGATGGGTTGTGTTCCTAGCAGTAGCTCAAAACATGGAATTGAAAATGGAAGAATTCGTTTTTTTTCGAAACAAAACTTCCCAATCAAGCATGGAACGGAGCTCACTGGCGTTCTAAGATTCATACAGTGGAGCCAACTTAGTGGGATAATTAAGGAATGGTTGTTGTTGTTTGTAAAACTTCCCAATAAAAAAAATTGACCCAACAAGACACAAAATTTGTACCCAAACAGCAACATTTCCAATCAATTTTCAATCCTACACATCAACATTCACCTAATATATCAATTCATCCTACACTTAAGAATGGATTAGTTGCTTAATCAAAGAGATTATCATGTTAAACTAATCAACCAATAATCAAAATCCTGAGCAAGTTCTGAAATAGAGATGAAGAATCAAGAGAAATGAATGTACCGATTGGCGTGGAGCAAGGCGGCGGGGCCCAAATAAGACTCAGGGTTCCACCAGTAGCTAGGGCAGGATGTGCTACAGCAGGCACACAGAATGCACTCGTACATCCCATCCAGCTTCGACCTATCCTTCTTGCTCTGCTTTATCTCCTTCCCATCCAACTCCGCCGCCGGGGTCTTCCGCTTCAGCCACGGCTCGATGCTCTTGTACTGGTTGTAGAAATTCGTCATATCCACCACCAGGTCCTTGATCACAAACATGTGCGGCAGCGGCGTGATCATCGAGGCGCCTGCCTCCGACGGCGCTATCTTCGTCAGGCAGGCCAGGCCGTTGCAGCCGTCGATGTTCATGGCGCAGGAGCCGCAGATCCCTTCCCGGCAAGATCGCCGGAAGGTGAGAGTGGGGTCCATCTCGTTCTTGATCTTGATGAGGGCGTCGAGCACCATGGGCCCGCACTCCTTGAGGTCGATCTCGTACTCCTTGAGCTCCGGCTTCTTCGGGTTATCCGGGTTCCACCGGTAGATTGAGAAGGTCTTGATGTCCGTTTTGTCTCGGGCCTTGAGGTCCACCTGCTGGGCCTGGGCCTCCGACGCCATAGCCCGGACGCAGACGTAACGAAACGACGCCGCCGCCGTCGATCCCGACGACGCTGCAGAAGCTATGGCCCTCCGTATCAACCCCGTCGCCATTTTTGCGTCTCCGAGCTTCAACAACTGCGAACAGAGAGAGAGAGAGAGAGAGGGAGAGTGGGAGACTATTATGGAGACGAAGGGGTTAGGAAATGACGGAAATACCATACCCGATCAAACCCAGTCTGGCTAAATACTACTTTTAAGATTTTATTCCCCCAATCCAACCCAATTCGTACTAAATACATGGACTAAAAGCTAAACAAAAACCAAATTTTCCTAGGATTTAACTCAGAAAATGGTGTGGGCACCATCAGCTGGACCCCATTCACATAGGCATGTCTTACCGGATTTATTGAATCCATCGGCTGAAATCGAATATAATCAAATCTAACAATAAAAAAAGATCTAACGATCTAAATTTAAATCCAACGGCTAAAATAATTAAAAAAATTATTTAACTCAAAATTCACCCGAATTTAATAATTTTTTTAATATTTATCGAAATTTAAATATTTTAAGGTTAAAATGTTCATAAAATTAAATTATGATAGTGTACATAATTTTTTTTTTTTAAATTACCTTAAAAGAAAAAATTAGCTTAAATTTATTATTTAATAATCTGAAGCTAAAAAATTTACTTCAAAAATATTGGAGCTGAAAAGTTGTTTCTGAGTTAAAATCTAAATTTTCTGAGCTAACAATTTTAGGTTTTAGCCACGGAGATGGTTTAAGGGGATGGTTTCAGCTGTCGAGGGCTTATGTGTAATTGTAAGGGAAATAGTGGGATTAGTTCGATTCCGTGTCGTGATTGGCTGCGCGTCCTGGCTTTTCCTCGGTGACGTGTTCGATGGAGAGCCGTTTGTTTTTGGGTGTGAGCGTGGTTCGATTGTATATCAATCGTTTGATTTTAGGAGTGGGTACACCACGCGCCACCCAAGGATGATTGCCACGTGGAACAAAGAGATTGATTCATTGCCCACCCACAGTGGCTGGTTGTGGCCCAAGCGCTTGTTACTTGGGTCTCTCAGAGGCCCAACTTTGATGGTTCAAACCCAAAGAGAATTTTTTTTTTTTGGTAAAAAAACCCAAAGAGAATCTTTTCAAAAAGGGACACCATCTTTTTGGGGTTTTCACCCAACTACTGAAAGAATTAAGCTATTAACAATTTAAACCACTCTTTTTTCTAGCTTTTTATGGCCTATTAACTGGAAAAATGCAGGGAAGTTTTAACGAAACTCCCGGTACTGTTTAGTTTTAACGAAAAATTATATTTTTATATTTTTTTTGGTACTATTCACTAAACCTTTATTTGTCATTTTTCATTAAAACTAAAGTGTTTTTTTACTTTTCGTTTGTTTTCCTAAATTCTATGATCCAAGTACTAAACCAGCTCATACCTACGAATCAGACATAACAAACCTTCCCCTTCCCCACCTCTTGATTTGTCACTGGTAACCCTAACCCACTTTTGGTCAAACCTTTCTCTCACACGATCTCCAATCTGAATGTCGTACCCAAGAACTTCTCCATTAACTGTCTCGTAGCAAGTGTGAGGCCAACTTTTAGAAGGCAATTAGATACAAAATGGACTATCTTTTTTCTGTCCGATTTCATTGAAACGCAAGGATGACTTGAATTTAAAAAATTTAGTAATTCAAAGTGAACCAAAAAATGAAACTGGCCCTGAATCTCATGGAAGTATTTTGTAATTAGCTCTTTCTCTTTTATGAAGACACCCAAACTGAAAATTAAGGAGGGAGGTGGATGGAAATGTCAGTTTATGGGTTTGGGAGGCGGCTAAAAGGTTAAACATAGTGTGAGAAATATTAATTCTATAGCATATAACAGTCGGTCATGTGATGTAAGAAATAAAATGACGAATTCCCAAGCATAGTCAAAAATCTCCCAACGTTGTTAGGGAAGATTATGTTAATAGAAGGGGCATATTATTTGACTTTATTGTTAAGAATTTGCTACAAATGATGGGTGTGACATGTAGGGTACAAAAACAGAACAACTACATGCTAACTACTAACTACTCACGTCACAATTTGTGCCATCCATTTCCTTTGGTTTAGGCTTTAGCTACGCTCTCCTTCTTCCTCCCTTATCACGTACAACTCACGCCACCTCTCTATTTTTCCCCTGTCATTCTTCTTCTCCATTCCTTCTCTCCCAAGTCTCCAGTCTCGTCTTCCTCGAATCTCCGCACCTCCTGCGAATGGCCTCGGTAAGTTTGTATTCCACGTAACATGTGCATCTGCATTTCATTTCGAGTTTATATGTTTTAGCCTCGATGATGTCCGTCCTTCTCAATTTCCACATACGATGTGCTGAGAAAGACAAACACATGGATGTATACAATTGGTAAAACCAAATAATGTATTGTGGGTTTTGTGGAGCAGGAGATGGGACGGCCCTTGCCCAAATTTGGAGAGTGGGATGTGAACAACCCGGCATCAGCCGAAGGGTTTACTGTGATATTCACCAAAGCTAGAGATCAGAAGATGAACAATGGGGCTGCCAATGGGACTCCATCCTCAACCAAACCAATAAACGATCAATATCCCCAAGAGGTAATTAACTGAACATGTATTCACTCTCAATATCTACGCATTCTAGTTTACGTGAGGCGGTAAATTGCCCTAACTAACTTGCCTAACTCACGTTTGCCCTAAAATTAGTTGCATTAATCGTATTTCGTATTCGTTCCTCTCTTGGGAATTTTGTATCAATGATTGCTTCTTAATTGAATGCAGAAGA